AAAAACCCTATATTTAACTATCATTACATCCTGTATATTTAAAATGCCACAGCCAATTACAGTAAACAATTCAAATTCCCCACACAAATTCAAATTTACAACAATAAAATGACCGACATCCGCAAATTCAAAGTTACCGTCGCAGCCAATCACAACGCAGCACTATGACGTCAGAAAGAAGGGGTGGGGATCACTGGCTCTTTACTACTTGTATAAGATCAAATTTAAACTTTTCAGCGTATGCCCAAGGTGTAACAGGTCAGGTATGCAAAATAGGAGCAGTTTTCAGTAACCAAGACAAAGCTCTAAAAGCCATAAGTTCATTTTGTTTCCGATTTTCTGGAAAATCGTCCACGATCGCCATCTGATTGTTAGGACGCTATCTTGGTTCGGGATATCATTATTTTTAGTTTTGGATAAAATGCATCTGTTGATAACGGTTAGGCACTACATTGTTCGGATAATCGTTTAACCAAAGAATGTGATTCAGCCATAATCGTTATTTCAATTAAATAAGTATTGCCTTGACATAAGCTAAGGTAGGTAATTCAAATAAATAAAATAAAATATTTGTTTTTACCACCCTTACATGGCAAGAACACGTAATGACCAATTTACTGTGTATGTATATCAAAATGTTACCCTTTCAATAAGCTTTCAAACACGATACAAGTTCGCGTTAATGGGTTAAGTTGTGTATGATTTTCTAACGAACGGGTTATCTCATTAACAACACTGCGATAATAGTTGAATATTTTGTTAACCCCTATAGAATAATCCTGCAGTTCTCTGTCTACAAGTTTAATTGTTATCGGATTTCGTTCTCTCGTTGAAAGCTCTTCTGTTAGTTTAGACAGCCTTCTGAAATTTACCGCTGGGAATGTTAATGTTTTGTATATTTTATCAGGGGTGGAAGTTATGGAAGTCGGAACAACAGTACAGCTTGGAAAATTTGCCCTAGTGTTTCTACTTCCTACAGTCTGTTTCATAGAAATTTATGTGAAATGATAAAAAAGTAAGGGAAAAGTTAGACTATGGTAATTGAACACGTTAATTAGGATCCTTAATGTTCCTCTTTAATGAGCTCTGTTATTTGCTAGCATAAAAACCAGGTTTATTTAAGTTGGTTTGGGTTGAACTCTTCAGTAAAACTACTTCGTTAAGAAATTCTCATTCTTTTATTTAGTTCTTTGTCTTCCGGCTAATCACTGCTTCTTATGTTTATTGCGATTTCGTACAATCTGCACTAACTTTCTAAACGATCGGTAATTACTTTTTGACACTATGTTTTAAGACGTAAAATTTACTCTTCAGATGAATGCAGAAGCAATTCGAAATACCTCACAAAAAAGGCCAGACGGTAGACAAACATCTCATTACTGACTGGAAATGTCCTCTTTACTGAAGGAATTTTGTTACTCTTCATGCAGATAATGTGAAAAACGACCGTAAGAGCAAACAACGCTGTGTAAACTTCTTTTCATTTATACCTACCCACCTTACTTTATTTTTCAAGAACTTTGAACTGTTTGCTACTCGTGCGTGCAAAGTACCGTGCGCCTTATTGAAGTAGTTTAACGATTTTTCTTTAAAGTTTAAATATTAATCGTATTCATTTGTTGCAGGTGAGCACAATTCGCGTTCGGCTGGTGTTTTGGTAAGAATATGGAAACCGTGCGAGGTTTGTTTTATACGTAACCCTCGCACTGCACTTTTCCTAACCAAATTCCTATATTTGATTTTCGGAAGAACACAAAACTTTTGATGTTATGATTGTGTCCTAATAGTGTTTTGAAGTTTCCTGCGGCAGCTTTTTATCCAATTTATTTGCTTGGTCTTATATTCTGGACATATTCTTTTTTGTTAATGGTTTTAGTATTAATGATGTTAAGGCGCTTGTAATATGCAATGTAAGAAGTGGTAACTTGTCGTCGTGTAATTTTCTAAATGGAGAGCATTTTAGTTTCAAAGATGCGTAAAGCCATTGAACTAGTTGATTTTATTCAATGGTAAAATGGAAACCACTTTCTATCTAAATATCGAATAATGGATAACATTTGATTCACATAACGTATAGTTAAGATTCCCGATGCAATACTAATTTATCTTGGATCGCAGATTTATTTTAATATCTTATAGTTTGCTCAATGTCGATTCACTATTTCTATAAATACGATTATTCGCAATTAACGGATTACTAAGGATTGCATAATACCCATTTAATCGGATAACCGATTAACCGGATTAATCATGACCAGCTCTGATTGTTATATGAATCAGGTCTGTGAAATTTGAAACAAGGAACTCACACTGAGATATATAGTGTTTACCACAGCAAAGAAGATTAGAGGGAGTGATTAATCGAACCCGTGCAAGCAAGGCACGCTAGTCTTTGCATATGATCAAGAAGTGCTACGATTGTGGAGAGTCTGGTTCTAGGTCACCAGACAATTGCTTCATAATAGAACATAAGTCAAATCGCGTTAGTGGACAGCCTTCGGGGATGGTCCCCAAGGTCTGTCAATTCCGCGGCGACTTTACCAGAGAGCCTTCGGCCTTGAGCTAGACATTTTTGCTCCAATTCATCAATATCCGCAAACTCAGCTCAGCTCGTAATCGGCCCGGGTGAGTTGTCGACGCTGCGCTGGAGCAAGCACTGACCACAGGGTGTCTTGTAAGCTTGAGCGGTGATGCTTCCGTTGATACTTGGTAGTTGCCCCTGTAGCCGCTACTGCTGTTGTTATAGTGGTTGTACTGACGTACTCTCCACCGCTGGTTCGACAGAGTTACTACCTCTCACCTTTAGAGAGGAAAACCCATAACTGAACCTTTCCCCGATTAAACTAGCCTGGTCTTCTTCCTTAATGCCGAAAAGTATCAGCCTGCCTTAAGATTGATCTCTCACGGTTGTGTGAAAGAGACACC